GGGTGGATTCTGATTTCCATTTTGTGGGACTGACAGCTGGTGGATGTACGGAGCCCTGTACACTCAGCCGAACAGGGTGAAACACTGAGCCTCAGCGCAAATGTTTACCTAACAGATGATGGCACAGTCTGTTGCCCCCATGTACAGTATGCTGCTACATACTGTGTTCAACTCAACCCATTAAAAGCATCCATCCAGAGAGGGCGGGGGGTGGGGGGGGAACAGAGACAGATGAGCCGTGTTACAAATGAAGCCTCATTCATCTTATCTGAACATTTCATAGGAGCTGATGATGTGAGGACAATTTACTGAGCAACATATCCATAAGGTGTCATGAGAGTCTTTTTGAGACACTGGTCATAAACACTTCCTACAAGAACATCAATCAAACAAGTAAAAAAAATGTAATATGCTCATTAAAAAGACAGCAATGTGAAGGATCTCCTGCTTCTCTCTGTTTCATCCCAATTCATATGCTTTAGTTGTGGTCTGTGTTTGTTGGTTTAGGCTAAGGCTTGGTTCCAATAGGGGAACTCATAATGCTACACATACTGTGATATTTTACACAATAGTTTTCAAGGCTGTGGTATCAGTTTGGGGACTGTTGGGGATCCTTTTCAAGACCGTTTCCTGTTTTGACACGATGGCCTTTCATTTTGAGATTTTGCTAATAAAACACTTGGAAGCAGCTGTAAACACTAAAACCATGTGCAAGACACAAGCTTCCAAAGGGTTTGACTAAGGCATAATGTATTAACTTCTGCTCAGTTCGGTTTCTTCTTTTTCCACAGCCACCTCAGCCACTTTCATAGCAGAACGGATCATTTCCATGGCTGCGTTCTTCTCATGGTTAGCTATTTACATGCTACAATGACAGAGACAGAGGTACATTACGTTTTTGATCAACTCTGCATCATCATTATGATTTACTATAGGACCAGCAATACTGAGTAATTACATGCTTGATCTCAGTGCCATGCAGTCAATTTATAATTTAGGGGTTATTCTTTCAACCTATTCTATCATGGACAATGCAAAGTAGGGAGATATGTCATTTGGCCAAATGGCCACAAAATAATTCACATTTGTTTTTAAGCTTGATAAACATCAATGTTACGGTCTGAGCAGGTACAGGGGACCTCAATATACAGAGACGAGACCCGGGAGTAGAACAAAGGAGAATTTATTCAATAAACACAGGTAATGGGTTACCAGGTGATGGGGAGAGGGGGACAGAGGCAGAACGGGAACTGGATGGGACTGAGGAAGAGCAGGTTCTTGATGGGACAGGCAGACAACGGGGAACTGGAAAGGAAGACGAGCTGACACAGGAGAGCAGGAGGTGCAGGTAAGCAGCTTACTCAGAGCGAGAGTGTGATGGTTCTGTCTTCCACACACACACACACACTGAGATCCAGAGGAGCAGGTGGGTCACAGGTGAGTAGTTTACTCAGGGGGCGAGCTGGAGTAGTGCTAGCGTCCACACACGGGAGAGTCAGAATAACTTCGGGTAGCTGACAGGACAAATTGGCCATACGCAATTGAGAGAATGTCAGAAACAAAACAATGAACCAGCGGGGAAAACGGGAAAAGGGGCGTATATATAGGGAGACAGACCGGGAGGTTATGAGTGGCAGGTGGATGAAAGGATGGCTGATAGTGCTGGCTGAGAACGGAAAACCAGGAAGCGAGGTCCAAACCGTGACAATCAACAACAATTTCAATTAACTACGTCATTTTAGCAGTAAACTACTTACTGGTAGAACGTTAGGCACTGGGCCAAAACACAAATGAGTCATTGTTGGAGTCGTGGCCATGTTGTATTTTGTGAGCTATGTGTGGTTTCCTGTGTTAAGACAAGACTAAATTGAATTGGATTTGATTTTTACTGCTGATCCCTACATTTGCCATTTCCTGAAACCATAAACACATGAATGACAAAGATGTCATTCAGTAAAATTTAAGGGGAAATGACACAAGCTGTTTAGAGTCTGATGCACTTAAAGCATTCACAAAGTTGCTCTCATGTGCACAGACATCTCTCTTTCCTCTGTCTCTGGGCCATGCCTACATGCACTCATAGACCCACACTGAGTCGTTTGTGAGCTTATTATCTTGGAGTGTCAAGTGGCCAGTCTTGGGTCCATCATGCCACACTCAAGCCTTATCTTTTCAGAGTTCCTCCCCCTGACCTCGATGCTTATCAGGCCCAGGCTAAAAGCATTCATCCTCTCTTCGTTACAGACACATCGCTACAACCAGCTTCCTGGAGATCAGAGAGTAAATGTCTTTTAGTTGTTTGAATCCACTCGGCCCAAACACGGGCCTTGAGTTTACAATGTACCAATATACTGTAACCTTATTGTTAAGGGTCAAAAGACACTATGTTCTCAGACTCAACATACCTGGGGCAATAGTATAATCACTAATTAGCCGCTCCACCAGTTCTACTAGGCTTTGGATTTTACATCATAGCTTTTGTAAAGGTGAGTCATAAGTGAAACAACGCTCTCTATGTGTAGTTAGTGGATTATATCGTTGCTACAAACCAGGGAAAGGATGCAGCTGTGCAGTTCAGTCGTCACAATGGTCATTTTAAGCAGTAACATTTCATTTTAATTTATCATTTTTCTTATGTGATTTCATTTATGAACTGAAGCTCATGTTCTTAACAATAATTTCAATAACCAATCACAGGTTTACACCCCAAAAGACAGATAGGACATACATTTTATTATATAGTTGTGGAAATTTGGGAGGAGAAGAAATGTCTGTCAAAAATGAATCGAGGTTTTGGTTCCAACATAATTTGTTGCAACATAGTTCTACAAACATATTTAGATCAGGTGACGTGATAAATACTTCTGGTGCAAGACAGTGTGCAGATGAATGAACACAAAGCTGGAAAACAAAAAACACATTAGACATTCATGTTCACACTCACGTTAAAGTGCCGAACAACGCCCTTTGATTTCACAGGAAATCAAATGGGAATGAGTCACATGGGAGAGACCGCGCATTCGTTTTCCTGCTTGTTGCCGCAGAACTTCCTGGACAAAGTCTCACTTCTGAAGAAATCCAGATGCCCACAAGCTAATGACATGTACAGTACTGATAGCAAACCACAAGGACAATAAGAGCCCCAAAGGTGTCTTTTGTAGTGTTGCCAATACGCCTGTAGCGATATGGAACACAGCAGCTCTAAAGGTGTATTTGGATTTAATCAGTGTTATGACCAAACTTAAACCCATGTCCTCTGTGTTGCCAGACACGTGACTGGATGTATTGCTTCACTGAAATTGGAAAAGGTCAATTAAAGGAACCTGCAGTTGAATTATGGCAACGAAGAAATGAATTAATCACAGACTAGCTAAGACAGTCACCTCAGTATTATTAGGATTTTACACAGAATCAATTTCCTGAAGAGTCTGAAGTGGAAATAAATAGCTTCATCAGTTATTCAGACCCATGATAGTGGAACTATACCACATGATAACACCAGCTGAAGAATCAGGAATCAGAAGGTATTTCTGGAATGTGCTGCACTACATGCAGCGAGCAGCCATAACATTATGACCACCGAGAGGTGAAGTGAATAACATCAATTATCAGGTTGGGGGGGTATATTAGGAACCAAGTGAACATTCAGTCCTCAAAGTTCACGTGTTGGAAGCAGGAAAAATGGGCAAGTGTAAGGATGAGTGACTTTGACAAGGGCCAAACTGCGATGGCTGGCTGACTGGGTCAGATCATCTCCCAGTCTGCAGGTGTTGGTGGGTGTTGTTGGTCTGCAGTGGTTAGTACCTACCAACAGTGTCTAAGGAAGGACACATGGTGGACTGGAGACAGGGTCACAGGTACCTTGTTGTCTGATCCCACCAAAGAGATACTGGAGCACAAATTTCTGGAAAACTGACCTCTGAACGTGGCTACAATGGACATGCAAACATCAGAACTGGACCACAGAGCAATAGAAGACGGTGGGTTGGTTTGATGAATCACATTTTTTTTTTTTTTTTTTACATCATGTGGACAGCTGGGTGTGTGTGAATTGCTTCCCTGGGGAAGAGATGACACCAGGATGCACTATGAGAAGAAGGCAAGCCAGCGGAGACGGTATGATGCTTTGGGCAGAGCTCTGCTGGCAAACCTTTGGTCCATGTGGATATTACTTTGACACGTACCACCTACCTACACATTGTTGCAGACCAAGTACACCCCTTCATGGCTGATAGTAGTGGCTTCTTTCAGCACCCTGCACCGTGCCACACTGCAAAAATGGTTTGGGAATAGTTTGAGGAGCACAACAAAGAGTCCATGGTGTTGACTTGGCCCCCAAATTTCCCACATCTCAATCCAGTCGAGCAATATTGAGCAGGTGGTCATAACATTAAGGCTGATTGGTGTATAGAGTAACAAACATGAGGGAGTTGTTTAGGGTTCTGGAAGCAAAAGTCCTGTTCATTTCAGCACTTCAGGCTTGGGAAGACATGAAAGTCCCCTGGCTGAAGATAAACAACTGTGTCAGGAGACATTTGGTTCCTTGATAAAAAGTCAAATGTAACAGCTTGTGGACATAAGAACACAGGAAGGAAATGTTCTTTCAATGAATATGTTGCTACAAAAACCTCCACTCACTGAGCGTTAACGTTAAAACGAAGCTAAAGATGAGAGCAACTAGAACTGATAAGTGTATAAGAACAAAATCACAAGACAATGTGAAATGAGTCTCTCACAGTGAAGAACCTCTGGAGAATTATCAGCAGAAACACAGGTTTATGAGCACTGACTCAACCACATCCCACACCTTTAGGATGAGAGAGTGGATCTGCCGTGAGGCAGCAGATTGATGCTTTTGGACTGAGTTGCTGAATGATCACATATACATCTCTATCCATACTGTCCATGTAGTTTCTTTCCCCATTACTTAGTTAACAGAAACCCTGTAAAACTAGCTAGTTCCTTAAGATACAACAATCACAAAGGCTGTTTTGCTGCTAAGACAGAACCTACTGTACACTCCCTGGCTTATACTGTGATTAGGACAGACTGTGCCTCCAATAAGACACAACCAGTATGTCAGGTGTAGTTACAGAAAGGTCTTGACAGATTCTGGCTCAGTGGGATTCCCTCCTCCTTTCGACCCACCAGCGGCTCCTACATTTACTGCCTTTGTCAGGATTTTCCACTGCTCTAACACCTTGCTCATCTCTATCAAAAGGCAGTATGTAGGCATATGTGTGTGTAAGGATGAGAATTTATACTAAAGGGACACTAAAGGAATGTCACATTTCTATTTTCCTGCATTTTTGTCCTGTTGCTGTTGCAACAGCACATCGGTCTCATAGTGTGTGATCGTTATGATTATAGCTGTTGGTCTTTTCAGCAAACCTTGATGATGTATTGTGGGGATGTGATGAAGGCAGAGAGAGAAAGTGAGAAATATACAAATGATGCCACAAAGAAAGGCAGTGATCTCTGCCACTGGCAAAGAACAAGATGCTGCTGGGAATCACATGCTCACATACAGACTGGCTGTTCATCCATATGGAGAGATGGTAAAGAAATACTGCAGACATTCAGTCTCTAGCTGGCAGTGTCATTCAGAAAACAGAACAGACCCACACTTTCCCAAATACACACACACCAACACACGAATACTCATGCACGCCCTTCCCCCAGCCTCCTTTAATGCCCCCGAGAAGAGGGGATGCTCAGCCCACTCAGGTCTCAAAGTATTCTGTGGGTGTTTAAACAGGGATAAGCTAGCTGCGACTTGAGAGAAAGGCATGGTATAGATGTGTCAGACGCCCCTCCACTCACCGCCTCCGAGTCTTCAAATCCATGAAGGTACAAGTTATCGTACATGGAGGAGTGAGATCCCAAAAAGCAGCTCTTTGGCGCAAAATAGACAAAAACAGAAGAAGATCAACCTGTTCCAGAGATGATGGATGATGAGGACAGGGGAGTGACAGAGCCCAGCAGCCGTCTCTTTCTCCACATAAAGGTAGAGTACAGAGCAACAAGACCACACCAGGGCAGCAGACAGAAAAAAGGTGGGGCCCTCTGTTTCCCTGACGCTCAACTGGATGTTAATGCTGCCAAGCTGAGTGAGTGGTAATTCCCATTATAGGGTAGCCTGGTTGTCCCCAGAGGCAGAGCAGACCTGGCATTTCACCTGCCATCCAAGCTCAGCTCACACAAGCCAGTCCCTTCTAACAGCACTGGCTGATGACATAGGTAGGCTGCAGTGTGCTGATTGGCTGGTGGAGGGTCCAGTCAGCCTGCTTGGCTGTGAATAAGGAAGAGGCATAAAAGGAGGTGGGCGTGGTCAGTAAGCAGCGAGCTGTGTAGATTGTGTTCATGGCTGTGTGTGTCTGAGGTAATGTCACAACCTGACATATAATTTAACACATACAGAAAGGTGAACAGCTGAGTGATGAAACAGAGGCAGACACGATGCTAATGAGCCACTGCTCTGTGCTCATGTCTTTACAAACTTGAAAATGCTCTGTGGCCATAAAATCAACCTGTAAAAGTCTCTTACAGGGACACTGATCATACAGGACATCAATCAAGATGAGATGTAGCGTGTACGTGAACTGTCAAGAGAAACAAGACAAAAGGAAAATAATCCACTCAAACCAAAGTTCATGTTCTACTGGCTGTCTGTGTTTACATGTACATTTTAATACTATTGTTAGTATACTACTGTATTTTACTAATTGTTACTGCTCTGCCTGCTCTGGTTACTATTATTTTGGCTACGTGCTTTTATCCAGAGAACGAGGTGAAAAATAATGTGTACTGTCTTTGGTAAATATACACAAAAACCATCTAAATACATCCAGTGAACCTTTGTTTTATGCCTGTAGGATCTAATCCAAGTCAAACTGAAAGATCTTTAAAAAAAGCAGAACAACAGCGCCCTCTCCTGACAAACCATGCTACAGCAGCTGCACCTGCTCCTGTGTGATGATGATCTTCATCAAATCTGCCTCAGTCTTCTCCTGTTTCCTTTTAGCAAGCACAAGATCGAATGGCTTCATAATCACCTGTCAGATGTTGTAGCAGAGGTGACACATCACAGAGCTGGGTGTTTCATCAGTCAGATACTGACCTGGGTCTGGAGACCTCTTCAGCCCTCGCTGGCCTCACCATTACAGATTTACTCAGGAGGTACTGGCACGGTAGTGCTTGACACTAGCGTGAGCTGCAAAAGCCGTGGTCAGGCCCCCTCAAGTAATTCACGGATTAAAGGCTGCTGAGTTGAGCCATGTGACCTACAACAGAGGGGTTGGCAGCGTGAAGAAGCCCCTTCCTTATCACGGTACCCAGCACGCTGCAAGTAGAACAACGTGATTCCTCTCTGTTTAATGTACAGTGACTCAGAAATTGAATTAAGTTTCTGGGAGGAAGCTGTGACATCGCAACCTGTGCCATCCCAAAATGAGACCTCACTAAAATCTGCAGGCCTTACGTTCATACTTAGTTTCCAATTTGCATTTCAGAGAGCAGAGAATTAAACTCGGTGACCCAGGAACACAGACTTCTTCTACTCTTTTTTAACGGCGGCAGTGAGGAGGCCTTTGGTTCCCCACTGTATTTCAGTCGCGATGAAAAAGTCATTTTGTGGTCAGCGCGGGCCTACAAGATGATTAAAGTGTTCACAGACAGAAAGTCGCTACTGAACATTCAGTTTGCAATTTGCATAGCAAACAAAGATGTTTGGAGCTCTAACTAAATGTCTTTCTCTAAACAACTGAATTCATTTCTAGCTTTTTATTTACATTTTCAACCCTGCATTAATGAACATTGTTAGGAGATCAGAGGGCTTTGGGGGGGGGGGCGGGTCTTGTAGGATATCGACT